TTAGAGATCATCTAGTCCAAACCTCCTCCCCTGGGCATGGACAGCTCCCACAAGACCAGGTTGCTCAAGGCTTTACCCAACCTGGTTTTATATATGAAAGAACAGTATGAAGACATTCCAAGAGTCCACCCTCCTTTCTTGACAACCTTTTGTACTTTAACTGGACAGACAACTATGCAAACCACCCCATGGCATGACCAGGAATTAATGACTAGCAGTACCTTATGACCTTGATGCTTCCCATATTCTTTGCAGACACAACACATCAGAGGACTCGCCTGACAGCCCTCTTCTAAACACACAAACTCAATGGCATGCACTTGGTGTTGGGAGCACATTGTCTTCTCATGAGGCTTATCAGCAAGAGGCACACGCCTGTGCTTCGCTAGGGTCTTGGTAGAGTGAGTGAGTTGGGAACAGTCTGCACACAGGTGAGTGGCACAAACAGTGCAATAGACAGAAGCAACGTGGGCCTCGTCTTCATCACAACGAATGATGCTCTAGCAACAACAGGAAAGAGGTAAAACTCAAGTGGTTAACATTCAACCCCAGTAACTGGGCAAAAATCACAAGTATTGTCAACAATATAAGGCTGAAAGTAGACTTTGTTTAAAAGCTGTGCACTAATAAATACTTGGGACTACTTTGAAACTTGATTTTAAGCTTTCAGTAAAAAAAAAAAAAAAAAAGAAGAGTCTGAAGTGTTTGGTGATTTTATAAATCCAAACTTCGGTGCAAGTTGTAAAGGTTTGGAGGATAAAATAATTCTGGCTCCAGTAATTTCCTCCTGAGCAGTCATTACAGAACAAAGAAGTAGTCACAGTCAAAACACCAAAGGAGAAATAGGCATTCAGGGCAGTTGTCTCTTTCTGGAATGGCACTGCAGGATACTTTTTGCAGTTGTTCATACAGCTTGATAAGGAAGCACCTGATGTAGTAATATCAAATGATGATAAAAGGCAACTACTGAGAGGAAGAGTTGAAGTCCTTAGGAAGAATTTCTAGTAAGTTTTAGAAAATTGTGTTTAAATAACTATAATATACAAATGAATAACCTTTTCTAAAAAACATAAAGGCATAAAAAAGAGAAAATACTATGCATGCTTGTTACTGTCTATTTTCTGCTTCAATTACTACAAATTAGCATTTACTTATGAAGCAATTACTTGAAGCCTTAATACTAGACAATGGAAGAAAATAACAGTATTATAGGTGAAACTACATTTGTCAAAGAACTGATTTTCAACTTTTTGCCTACCTAGAGATAACTTTTAGCAAATGTAAAAAATTTTTCTACTTGTTTAAAACTCATTACCTCTCCAGACAGACCAATAGCTTCTTCCGCTGTCCCACACTGCCCAGCAGGACCATTCTGCAACCGTTCCAAGAGCTCCAACAAAGCAAAATTCTTTTTCAATCCCCAGACACCAGAGTCTCCTGTTTTTGAGGAAGAGTTGAATGAAGGGGAGGAATGGAAGAAAAACCTCAAGCAGATAATACCATCATGAGAAATTCCACAAACTACAGCTGACATTCTGACAAATATTAAAAGCATGTTAACTACAGTGATGCTAAGTAGTGAGATACAACTAGTAATTTTCTGTAAGCTCACACTGCATTTCCATCCTCTTCCTTCCTTTGACCATGAAGTTATTTAATATTTATGCAGATTTTCCCTACTTAAAAGGTGACAAGACTATTAAAAAAACCTCAGTAAAAACACATGTAAAATAATCTGCAATAGTTAACAACTGAAGAGTACAAGGAACCCACAAACTCTAATGCATACCATAAAAGTTATTATTTTGCATAAGTAGAGTGAACATTTCTACTGTACAAACAGAAGCTGTGAAGAATTCCCTACGGCCAAACCTCATATTCCCTGAATCACAAGATGCAACACCTACTGCAGATCTCAGTTCAGCAGACTGAGTAAAAAACCTGAGTAATAGTTAAAACAACATTCAGAAAGAAAACTCCCCCACACTGCGCTATTTGACATAACAAAAAGGAAGCTGTCTTGTACTCTCTAGAGCAAATCATAAGACCATGTCTACTCCTGGATCATTCTCATTTTATAGAAGGTAGCATGAAGCAATGTGATGAGAAGCAAAACCAGAACTGCAACCCAATCACTGCTGGTAAATGCCATCTGCACAGACCACATTGAGCATGAGAATCTTAGCAGCTGTTTCTTCAAGAATCACCCCTTCAATTTTTGTCAGTGTAATTGTCATAAATTTAAAGATATTTTCTCTGTTGCAAGGTAAAGATGCACCAAGAGATGAAGCATCACCTTTGAGCACTGGACCATTACTTTTTAGCCATGACAGATCCACAGAATTGAGGTCTGAAGGGACCTCTGGACATCACCTTGTGCAGTCTCCATGCTCAAGCAGGGTCACCTAGACCTGGCTGCCCAGACCTCCAAGAAGGGAGATTCCACCATCTCTCTGGGCAATCTGTGCCAGAGATTGCTTACTCTCACAGTCAAAATTGTTTCCTCATGTGCAGGCAGATCTTTCTGTGTTTCAGTCTGTGCACACTGCCTCTGGTTCTGTCACTAGGCATACTGAAAATAGCCTGGCTCTGCTTTCTTTGCACCTTCCCTTCAGACATTTGTAAAATATCTCTCAGGCTTTCCTCGTAGGACAGGTGCTCCAGTCCCTTCATTGTCTTACTGATGTTTTGCACCAGTAGCTTTACTTGTACTGAGGAGCCCAAAACTGGACATGGTACTCCAGGTGTGGCCTCACCAGCGCTGAGAGGAAGGGATGGATTACCACCTTGGACTTCCTGGCAACACTCCTAATGTAGCCCAGGGTACTGTTAGCCTCCTTTGCCTTGACAGCACACCAAGTAAACCAGGACCCTCCAAGATCCTTATATGCACATCTGTCCTCCAGCTGGTTGGCCCATTCTCTTCCTAAATGAGATAATGAGAATCATAGAATATCCTGAGTTGGAAAGGATGCACAAGGATCACCAAATCCAGTTCCCTGCTCTTCAGAGGACTATCCTAAAACTAAACCATATGACCAAGAGCATGTCCAGACACTTCTTGAGCTCTGTCAGGCTTGGTGCTATGACACTTCCCTGGGAGCCTGTTCCAGTGACCAAACACCCCCTGGGTGAAGAACATTTTTGTAATGCCCAATGTGAACTTCCCCTGATGCAGTTTCATTCCATCTCCTCACGTTACTGGTCACCAGAGAGAGGAGATCACCACCTGCCCCTCCACTGCCCACCTCTAGGAAGTTGTAGGCTGCCATGAGGTCATTCCTCAGCCTGCTCCAAACTGAGCAAACCAAGTGACCTCAGCCACTGCTCCTCTTGTCCTCAAGACCTTTTACCATCTTGGCTGCCTCCTCCAGACATACTCTCTCACCCTGATATCCTTCTTATACTGTGGCACCCAAACTGCATACAGAACTTGAGGTGAGGCCACACCTATAAAGGGCAGAGTGGTACATCACCTCCCTCGACTGTTTGGTGATGCTGTGCTTGATGCACCCCAGGGCACAGCTGTCCCTTCTGCTGCTCGGGCACACCACTGACTCATGCTCAACTCACCATCAACCCAGTCCAGACCTCTTTCCACAAGGCTGCTCTCCAGAATCTTTTCCCCCCAGTGAAAACATATAAGCAGAGTTACCCCAGGATTAAATGTCTCCATTCTGTCTATCCTCAGCAATAAAAGCTGGTGTGAAGAAGTGGTGGGATGACATTCAGAGTAGATGATGTTTGTCTTGTCAAGCAACCACTTCAGGCAGCGGAACCCTGCTCTTCTGGAGGCGGCTGAACACCTGCCTGCCCATGGGACCCAGGGAATGAATTCTTTATTTTGCTTTGCTTGTGTGCACAGCTTTTGTTTCGCCCATTAAACTCTTTATCTTAATCTACTTTCAACCTTCCAATTCTCTCCCTGTCCCACTGCAGGGCTGAGCTGCCCACCAGAGTCAAAACACAACAGCCTCTTTTATTTCAGGAGTTATGAAACAAGAAAAATGAGACTGGATTTAAATCTTAAGACTTAAATTTGTTTGAAATACTTGCCAAGTACCTGACAGTAGTTTTCCTGCTGTGCTGTTCCAGAGAGCAGAGCTCCATTACATGGCTAGACCCAATTACATGGAAGACTGAAATGCTCACATGCCAACTGCTTTTCCATCACAGGGAGCAGAACAAGTAGTTTCATGAGGTGCATGTAACATTTGGCCAAAGAGCAGGAAACAATGGTATGGTATCTCTGAAGAGGGATGTGAACAGGAACCAACAGATCTACACTTACTAACATACCTCATTGCTTTATGCAGCTTCCAGTTTGACTGCGCAAAACTTTCCTTCCTAGTCAATTTCCCCATGGTTTAACTATAGACTAAATTAGTCTATTTTGAATTTGGCGACTGAGAAGTTGTGTGCCTCACAGATGAAAGGCAAAGTTCAGAGAACAGATCAATGGATGACACTGTGTTCCTACAGCTATAAAAGAGAGCATATATAACCTATTCTCCCCTCCAACACCCTCAATGGGTACAAAACACCAATTACTTGTTATTAAAAAAACGTTTACCAGTAAAGACCATTCATTTCAGCAAATCTACTGCTTGCAGAAATGGGCCTGTCAAAGCACTAGTTAGAAACTCTGAAGTTAGGTGTAAAGCAAGGTGCTTTAAAAAGTCAGTGGTTTTAGAGCCAGTGATCTCTGCAGTTACCAGTTCCATGGTGGAACCCTCCTCTGGTACAATTACCAACACCCAGTCTAAGGTCAGTGCACTCCACTAAATAGACTGCAAACAAACCCAAGAAATATTATAACTTTTGTTTGCCCTAGATCTTGAAGGAGTTTACAGAAGGTGTGTTCTGGCCCTCCACAGTTACTCTAAGCACCAGCAGAGACATCTGCCTTTATATATTCTGACTTCAAAGCTTAGTCATTTTTTAGCCTTAGCATTCCTAGCAAGATCACAGTGGGGGTTTTTTCTAACACAGAGCAAGAAAAAGTCACCTCTTATTACAAGCTGAAGAAATACAGAGTGCAGTATTCACTTTTAGCATCTAAATTACATCAAACCAGTTTGTAAACAGAGCCTGGATTTGCTGACACTGCACCTACACAGACTCCTAGATCCTAAATCTCAGAAAACAAAGGACAAAGGAGTGCCTGAATGGTTCTCTTCTAAGGTGTTCAGAACAGCACCTTCCCGCAGCAAACTGGCCGTCCACAACCTTCAGCTACTGCAGCATATAAAATACACTAACAACACACCAATGTATTGTGTTGCTGATAGCAACATGGGCCTCTTGTCTCCAGATTATTCACTAATCCAGATGGCCATTAATAGCCCAGTATATATGGATGTACACGCACCTGAAGGATAAACCTACTTAAGGAACAGATTATAGCTCAGCCTTTGAGCAAACACTGATTAGCCTTTAAGCAAACACTGTGTAAGGCTGAGAGAGGAAGAAGCTGTTCAATCATTACAGTTTCTTATAAAAGTGTTTTCTTTCACAGGTTTTAATACATTTACTAAACACCCCAAAACACTAAGTGCTCTTCTCGATTTCCAATCTTGTGTCTGATTTTAATCATTTTAGTACTGTTCCATGTCTAGCGATAAGAGAAAGTCAGAACTGAATTAATTTATTCAAATTAGCCATTTTGTATTTGCTGTCTAGTTCACAACTCAAAGCTGTGATGAGAAACAAAGTTAGACTGCTCTAACATGCTTTCTTTAACTTTGTATTACATATCATGACACATTTTATGTTGTATTAGCAAATGTACTAGCAATTAATGGTGTAATATGTACATCTTGAACGCAGATGGAAAAACAGGCAAAGCTTACATACCAAATTTTAATCTGCTAAAATAGAATTGATAACCAGAAGACATCCCACATAACATGCATTCTCACACAGAAAGTCATGTCTCATTTCACTGGTATCTACCATCTACTTGACCTACACATCTTCAACACATCTGATCAAGTGTTTATTTCACATTTAAAACCACTTAAAGATGAGTTGTGTAAATGCATCTATTTAATCTCTCGGATTTTAGCTCAAATTCTGCCTTGGTCACAAGTGTAGAAAAGTCGAGTGACCTCATCCTTGTGCCAACAAAGGATGTTTGTGCCCACTGCAGAATCACTACACAATCTGACTGTCTCTTCTCTAAAGAAGACTAAGACATGAATAGCAGGAAATGTGTCAGCCAGGAACAAGATAGTGATAGATGAAGATATTAAGACTGACTCCAGCCACAAATACAAAAGTCAATTTCAAAAGCATGAAGCTTGTTTGCAAAAGGATTATAAATAACACAAGGGATAAAGGAACAACTTTTGTCTGAATGTCTGAACAAATCCATGAAAATGTTATAACTGCATTTTCTTGCACAATACTTTGAAATTTTATTTTAGCACACAAACATTAGCAAAAGAATGTGTAAATGTAAATGAGACCAATGGGATGTAGTCCATGAAAAATGCCATCACCGCCATATCTCAGCTGAGCAAGTTATAATGATAGAAAATAGTTCTGTAATAATGATAGACTCCAAAGCTATAAAATAAGCACAACAATTCCCTGTTCCATGTATTTTAAAAACCAAAAGCAACAAAACCCCCTAATCCAACACAGGAAGAGAGAGAGAGTAGATTGCAAGAAACTATTTGCCTCTTCTCCCAAACCAAGATACTCTAACGAAAAGGCTTTAAGAGAAGCCTCTTTTTCTACAAAGACCATTTCATAGATTTTTCCCCCTTATATGAACTGAGTCAACATAATCTCCAGAATATATGGCTTCAAAATTCTGAAAATCAAAAGCTTTTCCATTGCATCTTTTTGGTTAAAAAATGCTAATCTAATTGAAGATACCCAGTAGACAGTTCGCATACCTTCAGCACGGTCATACTCATTTTAAATTCTCCACTAGAATATTAATCAGAGGCAATTTCATTAAAGAATTCTCAAAAAACCCATAAAAATCAATGTTTAGTCTTCTCTGCAAAGCAGTATAGTTTGGGCAGGTTTTATTCCTACCTGTTCAGTACTAAATGTTTTCTCCTGCAGCAAGATTTTGTGAACTATTAGAATATTTTGCTAAGCATGTAAACAACATGTTGTCAGTCTTCAGTTGCAGATCATATATTCCAGAAACTCTGATTTACAAAGCACTTGTAACCCTGCCTTCCCTATATATACACATAACTATATAACCATATATAACACACTTAGATACAGAGAGGAGACAGACTTGTAAACCAAGAGTCCAATTCAGAAAGGAAAAACATGCAGCTACATCTATCCATACACAGGTCTCTGAGCCTTGCTTTCAAAAAATTCCCAAGATTCCACATGAAAACTTGGATGAATACAGCATTAAGTGTTTTACTAGTAAGAGCAAAGGAGAAAAAAAATGAAGCATAGGCTAAACGACCAACTAAAAGTATCCATAAAATCCAGAGTTACTGATTAAGGAATGGCGTTCAGCACAGATAGCTTTATGCCCTGATTTTGCTGCTTTTCTTTCCACAGAACTTGCTCTTGCAAGCCATCCTATAATCTAGATTTAGACATTAAACAGCTCTCTGAGGCTGGAGAATGTTATTTCATTACAGTAACTAAATGGCAGAACAGGAACTGGGTGATCATAGAATTTTCTTCCTCACATGTCCTCAAACAGACGGGAAGAAGGATGAGAAGTTCCCCTGGGCCCAGGGTGGCCCCTCCCAGGCTGCACTCCTGAGCTCTCAGAACCAAAGAGAATTACAAATGCAGCAAATTTAACCAACAGCAGGAACTAGTAGGTGATTAGCGGAAGAAAACATAGGCACAGATGCCTTGAAGATGGGCCATGAGGAGCTGCACTCCACAAAACCTCCCATTTTTCAGAAGCAGCAATATTTCTCAAGACAGTTCTCATGGATCTGGTAAGACTAAAAGTGGCTATGAGCTCCTACTGCCTCTGATCACCAGGCAGAACATTACTATTCACAGAAATATTTTTATTTTCAAGCTGTTTTGCTAAGATTTTACAGCACTTTCTTGAGCACAGTTTTGGTCACAGTATATCATCCCTTCTTCCTAGTATTAGCCAGTAGGATGCAAGTCTATTACCTCAGATGCAAAAGCTGAAGCTTTTCTTACCTCTTCCTATCTGTGGAGGAGTTACAAGTTTAATAACATTTTATTGTGTTTCATCAGAAGCTCCTCAGTATTATGTAAGATGAAAAAGAAAACCCCTGTAGATGTCTTTGTAAAGCTTCATTTTTGCCACACGTGAGACCCATAAAAAAATTAGGGTATTTTCAGATGCCTGGGAAAAACTGCACAATAAAAATTAAGCAGTGACAAGTTCCCCATCATAATAAAACAAGAGGGCCTTGAACAGAAATGTTTCACAACAGTATTAGTGAGTCTTGTGCTCTAACATTCTCCCCCTCAAAAGCGTAGTGAAAGAAATGTTGTGCAGCTGTACAATCACAGGTAAGAAGTAGAACAAATCATTACTCTTTTAACCACATCTACTAAGCAGGCAGTCATTCACAACGCTCATACTTTACCACCTCCCTCCTCCCAGGAAACAAACCCCTCTTTCATATGAGGCTGGTATTTCTTTTCCTGACTCCTATCTACATGAAAACACCCTGCAAAGTGCCTTAATATTCCTCACAGTCTGGTATACAATCTAGCAGATTCTCTTACTGCAAAGTTAATTCTGATTAGAGCAAATTTGATACTTAGATATTTATCTCACAGATTACCAGACTGGAGATATCCTTCTCTGAGAATTTTCCTTTCTACAACCTTTTTTTCTCCTCCGGCACTATTCAAAGCTGCTGGAGCCAGTTAAATTCTTGTTGCAGGTTCTTCTGATAAACTGTCTTTTCTGTACCCCTATGTTGACCAGGTAATTCTTACTCTAAAGAAATTATAAGCATATGTCATCTTTTGCCTAAAATAAACTTCCACTGTTGGAAAAAAAGCTGTATCTTTTCCTTCCGAATGCTGTCTGCAGACACTTACAGTAGGGGAATTCCTGTTGACAGGCTGCCACTACCAGTTATTGCACATAAAGAATTACTTAACATTGTAAAAACCAGGTTTGTTATACCTGATACTTCCCTCTATATCACTCCATCATGAATCCAGACAAATCTGTTTGTCAAAGAGCTACCTATTTAATTGCATGGGTTTAGTGTTTAGGGCAAGGAAACTAATACTCATTCAGGAACCTTTAGACACTAATTGAAAACAGAGCAGACACTTTGTAAATATAGGTGTACTATAGAATTCCAGGTATAAAGCTTGCAAGCCCAGGTTCAAGAAGATACAGGAAAAATCTTTACTTTCTTTTCTTAAGATAGCTACTTTAGTGGTGCTTAATAGTGCTATGAGCTACATGAAAAGGAACACTGCACATTCAGTACTTGGAAATATTACCACTAAACGGAGCATTAAGAATCTATATCTTGCATTATCTCCTAGATATCCTTGGCTGACAAGTTTCAAGAACTCCAAGCTTACATTTCCTTACCTAGCTCAGTAACTTGTCGATCAAAAGGACATCGAACTGCTCTGCCATGAAGGGGAAGCCTGGTCAGGCAGTCGTGGCAGACGGTGTGGCCACACAGGAGCAGACGGGGAACTTTGTCACCTTGCAAAGAAAACACATCTTCACAGACTCCACACTCAAGAACCTGTAAGTGAAAAAGAAGACCACATTTGGTTCCGAGCTGATTTAAAAAAACCCAGAAAACAATACCTTAACACAGTAAGGCATGTGACAATTTGTTTTATAACAATTGCCTCAATCACAGCACATCAGCCAAGTCAGGCGGGTCATTACTTTTCCTTCATATAGGAAACTAATGATCCTGTGAGTGATATTTTTACAGTGAACAGACAGAAACAAAACATTTCAACTCTCCAGCATCCCACCAGATCACCATTAGCTCTTGCTCACTTCGTTTAATGCACAAGAAAAGCACCGGTCAAGCAGCACAGCTCAGGGAGCAGAAACATCCTCACACGAAAAGGAGACGGAGGGCAAGACCCTTCCAAAGCAGAGCACAGGCTGGTGGAGAGA